CATACATACACACAGCCATCCATCTGTCCACTCACATACACATACACACAGCCATCCATCTGTCCACTCACATACATACATACATACAGCCATCCATCTGTTCCACTCACATACAGACATACGCCATCCATCTGTCCAGCCATACACACCATCAATGTCCACTCACATACAGACATCACATACATCACAGCCATCCATCTGTCCACTCACATACAGACATACACACAGCCATCCATCTGTCCACTCACATACAGATACACACAGCCATCCATCTGTCCACTCACATACAGCCATCCATCTTGTCCACTCACACACAGCACATCCATCTGTCCACTCACATACATACATACACACAGCCATCCATCTGTCCACTCACATATCAGACAGACACACATCCATCTGTCCATCACTGTCCACTCAGCCATACAGACATACACACAGCCATCCATCTGTCCACTCACATACAGACATACAGAGCCATCCTACACACAGCCATCCATCTGTCCACTCACATAACAGACATACACACAGCCATCCATCTGTCCACTCACATACAGACATACACACAGCCATCCATCTGTCCACTCACATATACAGACATACCACAGCCATCCATCTGTCCACTCACATACAGACATACACACAGCCATCCATCACATACGACATACATGCCACAGCCTCCATCTGTCCACTCACATACAGACATGCACACAGCCATCCATCTGTCCCACTCACATACAGACATACACACAGCCATCCATCTGTCCCTCACATACACATACACACAGACATCTGTCCACTCACATACACATACACAGCCATCCATCTGTCCACCACTCACATACGACATACAGCCAATCCATCTGTCCACTCACATACAGACATACACACATCCATCCATCTGTCCATCTGTCACTCACATACAGACATACACACAGATCCATCTGTCCACTCACATACATGCACACAGCCATCCATCTGTCCACTCACATACATACACACATCCATCTGTCCACTCACATACAGACATGCACACAGCCATCCATCTGTCCACTCACATACAGACATACACACAGCCATCCATCTGTCCACTCACATACAGACATACACACAGCCATCCATCTGTCCACTCACACATACATCTGTCACATACATACACACAGCCATCCATCTGTCCACTCACATACAGACATACAGACATACACACAGCCATCCATCTGTCCACTCAACATACAGACATACACAGCCATCCATCTGTCCACTCACATACAGACATACACACAGCCATCCATCTGTCCACTCACATACATGCACACAGCCCATCCATCGTCCACCTCACATACATCTACACCAGCCATCCTCACATACATACACACAGCCATCCATCTGTCCACTCACATACATGCACACAGCCATCCATCTGTCCACTCACATACAGACATACACACAGCCATCCATCTGTCCACTCACATACAGACATACACACAGCCATCCATCTGTCCACTCACATACAGACATGCATAAATGCACAATTCACACACACATGCAGAGACCTACATTCACAAATGAGGATATATGTTTCCAAACATGCACACAAGCAGACAATTATGCACGAACATATACTCACATATACATACACATGCATGCACTCATGCTCAATCATAGGCACACTTGTAAATGCACTTACATATTGGCTTGCTTATCATCTTAGGTACAAACACATTACCTCCCACATGCACACACAACGCCCCTCCCATCTCAGAATGAGAGAGGGAGAGAGAGAGAGAGAGAGAGAGAGAGAGAGAGAGAGAGAGAGAGAGAGAGAGAAGAGAGAGAGAGAGAGAGAGAGAGAGAGAGAGAGAGAGAGAAAGAGAGAGAGGTGTAACCATGAGGATAGCAATCACCTGTCAACAATTGTTATTTTTATTCTCCTAGGTTTTCTCACCTGTTGGACATCCGAAATCAGCACACACTTGATACGGGTTGCTGAAACAGTTTCTCTTTCACACATAGGCCCCCTGCGAGACAGAGAGAGAGAGAGAGAGAGAGAGAGAATGTCTCACGCCACGATGGATGACATGACAACCATGAACCACGCTGGTCATGTTATGCCCACAACAATGGCAATGGACCACGCAGGTCATGGCATGGTCTCCACTGTGGCAAACATTGTGACCACTATGGCCATGGATCATGGCTCTATGGATCACGGCTCTATGGATCACGGCTCTATGGATCACGGCTCTATGGACATGGATATGGGTAACCACTCAATGGACATGGGTATGGCGGTAAGTAGTTTGAAGTGTTATAAAATGATAAGAGATATCCAAATCTTTATCCTCTTCTTCTGTGTCCGAGTCTGCTTGCTGGTTCCGCCACCTTCCTCTTGTTGTGCAACCATTTCCGTGTGCTCATCTGTATAGGCGCACACAGAGAGGACCTTCCTCTGTGAATGCGTTGTCGGGCAGGAGGTTAGCGCCAGTGATGTCCATATATGCTCTCCACTTGTTTCCCCAACACAAGTTGAGTATTTAAGTCAACAGAAAGATAGCAGATCTGTATTCCGTAGTCTCTGTCTCAAGTCTGTTTCCTGTAGTTTGTTTTCTGTAGTCTGTATTCTGTAGTTTGTTTACTGTAGTCTATTTTCTATAATCTGATTTCTTTAGTCTGCTTTCTAAAGTCTGCTTCCTGTAGTTTGTTTTCCATAATATGTGTTTTTGTAGTTTGTTTCCTGTAGTCTCTTTTCTAGTCTGTATTCTGTAGTCTTGTTTTCTATAGCCTGTTCTGTAGTATGTTTTGTGTAGTCTGTTCTTTAGTATGTTTTCTGTAGTCTGTGTTGTGTAGTCTGTGTTGTGTAGTCTGTGTTGTGTAGTCTGTGTTGTGTAGTCTATGTTTTGTAGTCTGTGTTCTGTAGTCTGTGTTGTGTAGTCTGTGTTGTGTAGTCTGTGTTGTGTAGTCTGTGTTGTGTAGTCTATGTTTTGTAGTCCTCTCAGTAGTCTGAGCACAGGTTTGGCAAGAGTGTGTGTCAGTGAGGGTCGCTTTAGTTTTGGTGAGATGCACATGTCATCGAGCCATGATGCTGTCACAGTGAGGGTGGCTTTAGTTTTGGTGAGATGCACATGTCATCGAGCCATGATGCTGTCACAGTGAGGGTGGCTTTAGTTTTGGTGAGATGCACATGTCATCGAGCCATGATGCTGTCACAGTGAGGGTGGCTTTAGTTTTGGTGAGATGCACATGTCATCGAGCCATGATGCTGTCACAGTGAGGGTGGCTTTAGTTTTGGTGAGATGCACATGTCATCGAGCCATGATGCTGTCACAGTGAGGGTGGCTTTAGTTTTGGTGAGATGCACATGTCATCGAGCCATGATGCTGTCACAGTGAGGGTGGCTTTAGTTTTGGTGAGATGCACATGTCATCGAGCCATGATGCTGTCACAGTGAGGGTGGCTTTAGTTTTGGTGAGATGCACATGTCATCGAGCCATGATGCTGTCACAGTGAGGGTGGCTTTAGTTTTGGTGAGATGCACATGTCATCGAGCCATGATGCTGTCACAGCGAGTGTCATAGTGAGTGTACACATCCTTGTGATGACTGTTTTTCTGTAGACCTAGGCTGCCAGGTGTTCAGCAACTAGGAGGATATGGTCTGAGAAATAAAGATAGCCAGTGACAAACTGACCGCTCCATACAACCAGTGACAAACTGACCGCTCCATACAACCAGTGACACACTGACCGCACCTTGCAGCCAGTGACCACACCATGCAGCCAGTGACACACTGACCGCACCACACTGACCGCACCATGCAGCCAGTGACACACTGACCGCACCATGCAGCCAGTGACCACACCATGCAGCCAGTGACACACTGACCACACCATGCAGCCAGTGACCACACCATGCAGCCAGTGACCACACCATGCAGTTAGTGACCACACCATGCAGCCAGTGACACACTGACCACACCATGCAGCCAGTAACCACACCATGCAGCCAGTGACACACTGACCGCACCATGCAGCCAGTGACACACTGACCGCACCACACTGACCGCACTATGCAGCCAGTGACACACTGACCGCACCATGCAGCCAGTGACCACACCATTCAGCCAGTGACACACTGACCGCACCTTGCAGCCAGTGACCACACCATACAGCCAGTGACCATACCATGCAGCCAGTGACACACTGACCACACCATGCAGCCAGTGACCACACCATGCAGCCAGTGACCACACCATGCAGCCAGTGACCACACCATGCAGCCAGTGACACACTGACCGCACCATGCAGCCAGTGACCACACCATGCAGCCAGTGACACACTGACTGCACCATGCAGCCAGTGACCACACCATGCAGCCAGTGACCACACCATGCAGCCAGTGACCACACCATGCAGCCAGTGACCACACCATGCAGCCAGTGACCACACCATGCAGCCAGTGACCACACCATGCAGCCAGTGACCACACCATGCAGCCAGTGACCACACCATGCAGCCAGTGACCACACCATGCAGCCAGTGACCACACCATGCAGCCAGTGACACACTGACCGCACCATGCAGCCATTGTCAGTTAGTTCATAGAATTCTGGATCTAGCTGATATACATTGTGTGTGCACTTGTGTACCTAAATTTGTGTATGCTTGTGTATCTACATAGTGTGTGTATATGTGTGTGTACATTTGTGTGCAGGTGTGTGCATATATGTGTATGCACATGTATGTATGTGCATTTGTATGTACATGTTTGTGCACTTGTTAACATAGATGTGTGTGCATTTAAGACCCAGGTCAACCAGTGGATCAGAAACCAGTCAGCTGATGTACAGAATCATGTGAACAGATGGTTGTGCAGGATTACCTGGAGTCAGCAGACATTGAATAAATGGTTGTGCAGGATTACATGGAATCAGCCTACATTGAATAAATGGTTGTGCAGGATTACCTGGAGTCAGCTGACATTGAATAGATGGTTGTGCAGGATTACCTGGGGTCAGCTGACATTAAATAAATGGTTGTGCAGGATTACATGGAATCAGCCTACATTGAATAAATGGTTGTGCAAGATTACCTGGAATCAGCTGACATTGAATAGATGGTTGTACATGATTACCTGGAGTCAGCTGACATTGAATAGATGGTTATGCAGGATTACCTGTAGTCAGCTGACATTGAATAGATGGTTGTGCAGTATTAAATGGAGTCAGCTGACATTGAATAAATGGTTGTGCAGGATTACCTGGAGTCAGCTGACATTGAATAGATGGTTATGCAGGGTTAATGGAGTCAGCTGACATTGAATAGATGGTTGTGCAGGATTACGTGGAGTCAGCTGACATTGAATAGATGGTTGTGCAGGATTACTTGGAGTCAGCTGACATTGAACAGATGGTTGTTCAAGACTACCTGGAGTCAGCTGACATTGAATAGATGGTTGTGCAGGATTACATGGAGTCAGCTGACATTGAATAGATGGTTGTGCAGGAGTCCCTGGAGTCAGTTGACATTGAATAGATGGTTGTGCAGGATTACCTGGAGTCAGCTGACATTGAATAGATGGTTGTACAGGATTACCTGGAGTCAGCTGACATTGAATAGATGGTTGTGCAAGAGTACCTTTGGTCAGCTGACATTGAATAGATGGGTGTGCAGGATTACCTGGAGTCAGCATGATTGACACTTTCTCTCCCCAGATGTACTTTCATGATGGATACAAGGAGTATGTGTTATTTGAGCCTTGTTACACTCGGTCTGTGGGAGGTAGGTGGTTACATTTATGTGTTGAATGTTTCTGGTGTTGAGTGTGCCTGGTGTTGAGTGTGTCTAGTGTTGAGTGTGTCTGATGTTAAGTGTGTCTGTTGTTGAGTGTGTCTGTTGTTAAGTGTGTCTGGTGTTGAGTGTGTCTGGTGTTATGTTGAATGTGTCTGGTGTTATGTTGAATGTGTCTGGTGTTGAGTATGCCTGGTGTTATGTTGAGTGTGTCAGGTGTTGTGTTGAGTGTCTGGTGTTGTGTTAATTGTGTCTGGTGTTGTGTTGAGTGTGTCTGGTGTTGAGTGTGTCTAATGTTATGTTGAGTGTGTCTGGTGTTGAGTGTGTCTGATGTTATGTTGAGTGTGTCTGGTGTTGAGTGTGTCTAATGTTATGTTGAGTGTGTCTGGTGTTGAGTGTGTCTGATGTTATGTTGAGTGTGTCTGGTGTTGAGTGTGTCTGATGTTATGTTGAGTGTGTCTGGTGTTGAGTGTGTCTGGTGTTAAGTGTTTCTGATGTTATGTTGAGTGTGTCTGGTGTTGTGTGTGTCTGATGTTATGTTGAGTGTGTCTGGTGTTGTGTTGAGTGTGTCTGATGTTATGTTGAGTGTGTCTGGTGTTGTGTGTGTCTGATGTTATGTTGAGTGTGTCTGGTGTTGGGTTGAGTGTGTCTGATGTTATGTTGAGTGTGTCTGGTGTTGTGTTGAGTGTGTCTGATGTTATGTTGAGTGTGTCTCATGTTGAGTGTGTCTGATGTTGTGTTGAGTGTGTCTGGTGTTGTGTTGAGTGTGTCTGATGTTATGTTGAGTGTGTCTGGTGTTGTGCTGAGTGTGCCTGATGTTATGTTGAGTGTGTCTGGTGTTGAGTGTGTCTGATGTTATGTTGAGTGTGTCTGGTGTTGTGTTGAGTGTGTCTGATGTTATGTTGAGTGTGTCTGGTGTTAAGTGTGTCTGGTGTTGGGTTTTTCTGGTGTTGAGTGTGTCTGGTGTTGTGTGTGTCTGATGTTATGTTGAGTGTGTCTGATGTTATGTTGAGTGTGTCTGGTGTTGTGTTGAGTGTGTCTGGTGTTGTGTTGAGTGTGTCTGGTGTTGTGTTGAGTGTGTCTGGTGTTGAGTGTGTCTGGTGTTGAGTGTGTCTGGTGTTGAGTGTTTCTGGTGTTGTGTTGAGTATGTCTGATGTTGTGTTGAGTGTGTCAGGTTTTGTGTTGAGTGTGTCTGATGTTGTGTTGAGTGTGTATGGTTTTGTGTTGAGTGTGTCTGGTGTTGTGTTTAGTGTGTCTGGTTTTGTGTTGAGTGAGTCTGGTGTTGCTCCAGAAACCTTATATGTGCTGGAGTGAAACCAGCATCATCAGGTCCTGTTCCTTGAGCCTGCATCCATGTGACTCTGTTCGCTACCAAACATTCACCAAAAGAGGAGAAAGACATCAAGCATATGGCAGACAAAGAACAAAATGGAAAGTTAATATTAAAGAAACTATTCAATGACACACTGTCTCTATAACTGAGGTTACCAGAAGAGCACAAAGCAAAACTCTATCTCCTTTGACAGCGGTAACAAAGAAAGTGATGAAGAAGAAGAACAAGAAGAAGAAGAACAAGAAGAAGAAGAAGAAGAAGTTAGTTCATTGATCTGACTGGGTACAAACTGACATAATCATGTGTGAAGCTCTGTGTGTGTGTGTTCATGAAAAAACTCAAGTTGATCCTGTACCCCTTATATATAAAGTGTAAATGTTTGTTCATTAATTGCTCCAGTTGATTGTGTACCTCCAACCATAAAGTGTGTGTGTGTGTGTGTGTGTTTGTTCACTGATTGATTTGGTTGATTGTCTACCCTTTGAACATAAAGTGTGTGTGTGTGTGTGTGTGTGTTTGTTCACTGATTCATTTAATATGAACACAGATTGTGTTTCTCATTGTTTGAACAGCCATGGTTGGTGCTTGTTTTATCATCTTCTTTGTGGCCATCTTGTATGAGGGGTTAAAGTTCCTACGTGAAGTCCTTCTTCAGCGGTCCTTGTCTGGCAGACACATGGGGGCTTACGATATCAGTGAACACAAGTCAGCTTCTAGTCGGGAACAGATTAATGCTGAGATCCGAACCCCTTCTGTCATGTGAGTTGTCTGTTGACTCAGACATTATGTGTGGTCATGTGAGTTGTCTGTTGACTCAGACATTATGTGTGGTCATGTGAGTTGTCTGTTGACTCAGAGATTATGTGTGGTCATGTGAGTTGTCTGTTGACTCAGAGATTATGTGTGGTCATGTGAGTTGTCTGTTGACTCAGACATTATGTGTGGTCATGTGAGTTGTCTGTTGACTCAGACATTATGTGTGGTCATGTGAGTTGTCTGTTGACTCAGACATTATGTGTGGTCATGTGAGTTGTCTGTTGACTCAGACATTATGTGTGGTCATGTGAGTTGTCTGTTGACTCAGACATTATGTGTGGTCATGTGAGTTGTCTGTTGACTCAGACATTATGTGTGGTCATGTGAGTTGTCTGTTGACTCAGACATTATGTGTGGTCATGTGAGTTGTCTGTTGACTCAGACATTATGTGTGGTCATGTGAGTTGTCTATTTGTATTTGTCTTTGTCACATGGCTACTTTCCACATCACATGGCTAATGTCTGTGTCACATGCCTACTTTCTGCATCACATGGCTACCGTCTGTGTCACATGGCTACTGTTTTTGTCACATGGCCACTGTTTTTGTCACATGGCCACTGTTCACGTTGCATGGCTACTTTCTGCATCACATGGCTTCTGTCTTTATCACATGACTACTTTCTGCATCACATGGCTACTGTCTATGTCACATGGCTACTTTCTGTGTCACATGGCTACTGTCTGCATCACATGGCTACTGTTTGTGTCACATGGCTACTGTTTGTGTCACATGGCTACCGTCTGCATCACATGGCTACTGTCTGCATCACATGGCTAGTGTTTGTGTCACATGGCTACTGTTTGTGTCACATGGCTACTGTTTGTGTCACATGGCTACTGTCTGCATCACATGGCTACTGTCTGCATCACATGGCTACTGTTTGTGTCACATGGCTACTGTTTGTGTCACATGGCTACTGTTTGTGTCACATGGCTACTGTTTGTGTCACATGGCTACTGTCTATGTCACATAACTACTTTCTGCATCACATGGCTACTGTCTATGTCACATGGCTACTGTCTATGTCACATGGCTACTTTCTGTGTCACACGGCTACTGTCCGCATCAAATGGCTACTGTTTGTGTCACATGGCTACTGTCTGTGTCACTTGGCTGCTGTCGTGTCACATGGCTACATTTTTATGTCACATGGCTACTGTTTGTGTCACATGGACACTGTCCGCATCACATGCCTAGTTTCTGTGTCACACGGCTACTGTCCGCATCCAATGGTTACTGTTTGTGTCACATTGCTACTGTCTGTGTCACATGGCTGCTGTTTGTGTCACATGGCTACTGTTTGTGTCACATGGACACTGTCCGCATCACATGGTTAGTTTCTGCATCACATGGACACTGTCCGTATCACATGGCTAGTTTCTGCATCACATGGCTACTGTCTGTATCACTTGACTACTGTCTGTGTCACGTGGCTACTTTTTGTGTCACACAGCTACTGTCTGTGTCACATGGCTACTGTTTAGGACCAGTAACTTTATTAAACTGTTAGTTTCTTTGTCCCCGTTGTAATTGTTAATTATTTGAAATTTAAAAATTTATTTGAAATTATTTGTGAGGTGGCAGACATTCTGTGTGAGGAACAGACATTCTGTGTGAGGGGGGAGACATTTTGTGTGAGGAACAGACATTCTGTGTGAGGAACAGACATTCTGTGTGAGGGGGAGACATTCTGTGTGAGGGGGGAGACATTCTGTGTGAGGAACAGACATTCTGTGTGAGGAACAGACATTCTGTGTGAGGGGGGAGACATTCTGTGTGAGGAACATACATTCTGTGTGAGGAACAGACATTCTGTGTGAGGGGGGAGACATTCTGTTTGAGGAACAGACATTCTGTGTGAGGAACAGGCATTCTGTGTGAGGGGGGAGACATTATGTGTGAGGAACAGACATTCTGTGTGAGGAACAGACATTCTGTGTGAGGGGGGAGACATTCTGTGTGAGGGGGGAGACATTCTGTGTGAGGAACAGACATTCTGTGTGAGGGGGGAGACATTCTGTGTGAGGGGGGAGACATTCTGTGTGAGGAACAGACATTCTGTGTGAGGGGGGAGACATTCTGTGGGAGGAACAGACATTCTGTGTGAGGGGGGAGACATTCTGTGTGAGGAACAGACATTCTGTGTGAGGAACAGACATTCTGTGTGAGGGGGCAGACATTCTGTGTGAGGAACAGACATTCTGTGTGAGGGGGGAGACATTCTGTGTGAGGGGGAGACATTCTGTGTGAGGAACTGACATTCTGTGTGAGGAGGGAGACATTCTGTGTGAGGAACAGACATTATGTGTGAGGGGGCAGACATTCTGTGTGAGGAACAGGCATTCTGTGTGAGGGGGGAGACATTCTGTGTGAGGAACAGACATTCTGTGTGAGGGGGGAGACATTCTGTGTGAGGAACAGACATTCTGTGTGAGGGGGGAGACATTTTGTGTGAGGGGGAGACATTCTGAGTGAGGGAGCAGACATTCTGTGTGAGGGGGGAGACATTCTGTGTGAGGAACAGACATTCTGTGTGAGGGGGCAGACATTCTGTGTGAGGAACAGACATTCTGTGTGAGGAACAGACATTCTGTGTGAGGGGGGAGACATTCTGTGTGAGGAACAGACATTCTGTGTGAGGGGGGAGACATTTTGTGTGAGGAACAGACATTCTGTGTGAGGGGGGAGACATTCTGTGTGAGGAACAGACATTCTGTGTGAGGGGGGAGACATTCTGTGTGAGGAACAGACATTCTGTGTGAGGGGGGAGACATTTTGTGTGAGGGGGAGACATTCTGAGTGAGGGAGCAGACATTCTGTGTGAGGGGGGAGACATTCTGTGTGAGGAACAGACATTCTGTGTGAGGGGGCAGACATTCTGTGTGAGGAACAGACATTCTGTGTGAGGAACAGACATTCTGTGTGAGGGGGGAGACATTCTGTGTGAGGAACAGACATTCTGTGTGAGGGGGGAGACATTTTGTGTGAGGGGGCAGACATTCTGTGTGAGGAACAGACATTCTGTGTGAGGGGGGAGACATTCTGTGTGAGGAACAGACATTCTGTGTGAGGGGGGAGACATTTTGTGTGAGGGGGCAGACATTCTGTGTGAGGAACAGACATTCTGTGTGAGGGGGGAGACATTTTGTGTGAGGGGGGAGACATTCTGTGTGAGGGGGCAGACATTCTGTGTGCGGAACAGACATTCTGTGTGCGGGGGGAGACATTCTGTGTGAGGAACAGACATTCTGTGTGAGGAACAGACATTCTGTGTGAGGGGGGAGACATTCTGTGTGAGGAACAGACATTCTGTGTGAGGGGGGAGACATTTTGTGTGAGGGGGAGACATTCTGAGTGAGGGAGCAGACATTCTGTGTGAGGGGGGAGACATTTTGTGTGAGGGGGGAGACATTCTGTGTGAGGGGGTCAGACATTCTGTGTGAGGGGGGAGACATTTTGTGTGAGGGGGGAGACATTCTGTGTGAGGGGGGGGGAGACATTCTGTGTGAGGAACAGACATTCTGTGTGAGAGGGGAGACATTTTGTGTGAGGGGGGAGACATTCTGTGTGAGGGGGGAGACATTCTGTGTGAGGGGGGAGACATTCTGTGTGAGGGGGCAGAAATTCTGTGTGAGGGGGCAGACATTCTGTGTGAGGGGGCAGACATTCTGTGTGAGGGGGGAGACATTCTGTGTGAGGGGGCAGACATTCTGTGTGAGGAACAGACATTCTGTGTGAGGGGGGAGACATTCTGTGTGAGGAACAGACATTCTGTGTGAGGGGGGAGACATTTTGTGTGAAGGGGGAGACATTCTGTGTGAGGGGGGAGACATTCTGTGTGAGGGGGGAGACATTCTGTGTGAGGGGGGAGACATTCTGTGTGAGGGGGCAAACATTTTTGTGTGAGGGGGGAGACATTTTGTATGAGGGGTCAGACATTCTTTGTGTGTTTGAGGAGTGTGAGGGAAGCAGACTTTTCTAGTGAGGGAACGGACATTATGTTTGAGAGCGCAGACATTCCATGTGAGGGAATTGACATTTTTTGCAAGGGGACACATTTTTTGTGAGGGGACAGCCACATCATGTGATAGGACAGCCACATCATGTGATAGGACAGCCACATCATGTGATAGGACAGCCACATCATGTGATAGGACAGCCACATTATGTGAGAGGACAGCCACATCATGTGATAAGACAGCCACTGTGTGTGATAGGACAGACACTGTGTGTTAAAGGACAGCCACTGTGTGTGAAAGAACAGACACTGTGTGAAAGGACAGCCGCTGTGTGTGAAAGGACAGCCGCTGTGTGTGAAAGGACAGACACTGTGTGTGAAAGGACAGCCACTGTGTGTGATAGGACAGACACTGTGTGTTAAAGGACAGCCACTGTGTGTGAAAGAACGGACACAGTGTGTGAAAGAACAGACACTGTGTGTGAAAGGACAGCCACTGTGTGTGAAAGGACAGACACTGTGTGTGAAAGAACAGCCACTGTGTGTGAAAGGACAGACACTGTGTATGAAAGAACAGACACTGTGTGTGAAAGAACAGACACTGTGTGTGAAAGAACAGACACTGTGTGTGAAATAACAGACACTGTGTGAAAGAACAGACACTGTGTGTGAAAGGACAGCCACTGTGTGTGAAAGGACAGCCGCTGTGTGTGAAAGGACAGCCACTGTGTGTGAAAGCACAGACACTGTGTGTTAAAGGATAGTCACTGTGTGTGAAAGAACGGACACAGTGTGTGAAAGGACAAACACTGTGTGTGAAAGGACAGCCGCTGTGTGTGAAAGGACAGCCGCTGTGTGTGAAAGGACAAACACTGGGTGTGTGAAAGGACAGACACTGTGTGTGAAAGGACAGACACTGTGTGTGAAAGAACGGACACTGTGTGTGAAAGGACAGCCACTGTGTGTGAAAGGACAGACACTGTGTGTGAAAGAACAGACACTGTGTGTGAAAGGACAGACACTGTGTGTGAAAGAACAGACACTGTGTGTGAAAGGACAGACACTGTGTGTGTGAAAGGACAGACACTGTGTGTGAAAGAACAGACACTGTGTGTGAAAGAACAGACACTGTGTGTGAAAGGACAGACACTGTGTGTGAAAGGACAGACACTGTGTGAAAGAACAGACACTGTGTGAAAGGACAGACACTGTGTGTGAAAGGACAGACACTGTGTGTTTGAAAGGTCTGACACTGTGTGTGAAAGAACAGACACTGTGTGTGAAAGGACAGACACTGTGTGTGAAAGAACAGACACTGTGTGTGTGAAAGGACAGACACTGTGTGTGAAAGGACAAACACTGTGTGTGAAAGGACAGACACTGTGTGTGAAAGGACAGACACTGTCTGTGAAAAGGACAAGAATTCTGTGTGAGGGAAGTTATGAGTTGTGAAACATCCATAGGTGCTCAGATTAATAGAGTGTCAGTCCCATGTTGGTTGACAAGCCTTTTTGTGCATCCAGTGTGCCTCTCATGCTTGGTTGTTCCCATCTTAACTCTAAATTCTCATATTCTTAGCAGTGATGTGGACACATTGCTTCCAAAATCTTCGCAACGTCCAGTCTCTCTAAAGGCATTGACAGTTTTGGTGTGATCCATAGACCGGCCATTTGATAACTTGCCAATATGTCAGCTCTTTCATTGCCAACAACACCTGCATATCCTGGGACAAATATGATAGTAACTGCAAACACAGGAGAGTTTCACAATTACTCAGTCTACTGTCTGCATATGGAGTCTGCCTCGACCAGCTGGATCATGCTCATAGAATCACTAGGCACATACACGAGGGAATAGTCCTGTCATTCTAACGGCATGAAAGTTTGTGTTACAACCATCACCTCCATCGTCATGCTGCTGGTAGTCATGGAGAAGGACCCCTAGCTTCATGGACTGTTCTACCTGCAGAGCTGTCTTATGTCCTCGTATAATGTACCTGTCTGTGAAGATAGAAAATCTGTCTTATCTGACTTGTGACTGATTAGCGCGCATACCTTGGTGGTGACGGCAGCGGGATTCTGCTCCCGCCAACTCCTGTCAATAGTGGTGACACAGGAGAAGGTGAGACTGCGCGCTTTAGGCTCTGGAATCCGTTCCTCACAAGGATGGATGTCTGTAAGGCTGCAGACCTGCTTGATGTCATCCTCTGCCCTACTCAGCCATTATTTTCCCCTTTTAAGTCTATTGCCCTTTTCCCTAAAGAGCATATCGTGCAAAGGGTGTTTCAGATTTGATCTTATCTTCAGGTATGCAAGAGCTCTATGTGAGGGGGACACTTTTACAGTCATAGATGTATCAAGTCATGATCTCCACTAGAAAAGATTCACACATATATGTCAGCTGCTAAGATCTGTCGGCTGTTCCAAAACTATACTACTACAAGGCTGGGTAGAAGAGGAGAAGAGGCCAAGAATGATCTAAACTAAAAATCTGGCAAGGTCTCAAGTAAGAACACATCAAGTTATTGGAACTGATCTTCAGAAACGGGAATATGTGATCCAACAGTCAGTAGTAACTGGCTGACCCAATGACACAGTTTTGGTGAACTATAGATAGATATTTATCATGTACCGAGTGACAGTTTAACATATGATAGATGACTTGCTACAGATTATCATGTACCGAGTGACAGTTTTACATATGATAGATGACTTGCTACAGATTATCTTGTACCAAGTGACAGTTTAACATATGATAGATGACTTGCTACAGATTATCTTGTACCAAGTGACAGTTTAACATATGATAGATGACTTGCTACAGATTATCTTGTACCAAGTGACAGTTTAACATATGATAGATGACTTGCTACAGATTATCTTGTACCAAGTGACAGTTTAACATATGATAGATGACTTGCTACAGATTATCTTGTACCAAGTGACAGTTTAACATATGATAGATGACTTGCTACAGATTATCATGTACCGAGTGACAGTTTAACATATGACAGATGACTTGCTACAGATTATCATGTACCGAGTGACAGTTTAACATATGATAGATGACTTGCTACAGAATAAGTCATTAGTTTAGTTATTGATTTGTGAGTGTGTCTAGACAAACATAATTCAGATGTTGTGAGATCAATAAATTGTTCCATCTTGGTTTGGTCATTCCTCAGGAGCCGAATCCTGTCATGTGACCACTTGATGCAGACACTGCTACACATGGTGCAGGTGTTCATCTCTTACTGTCTTATGTTGGTATTCATGACCTACAACGTCTGGCTGTGTGTGGCTATCATCGTGGGGGCCGGCGTCGGCTACTTTTGCTTTGGCTGGAAGCGAGCTGTGGTGGTTGACTCAAACGAACATTGCCACTAAAATTGTTATCATGTACAGTACTCGTTGACCTTTTGACTTGTTTTTAAACCATCATATTTGACCTTCATTAATCTGTTAAAAAGCCATGCTTTTTTTACCTTGACCCTTGTTATAAACGGTACCGTGTCCTTCAAATTTTAAACTATATCCTTTGACCTTTGACTCGTTCATTTTAAACTTGTAACTTTAGACCTTGTCTGTAGTATACTCTTTGACATATGACACATGTGTTATACAGATACGCCTTTGACCTGTGACATGTGTGACAGCTATATCCTTGAACCCTTCACTCCTACAACAGCCTCATGGTCTACAACTTGTAGTTCTACTCTCATGTAGACTGGAACCCTTCACTCCTACAACAGCCTCATGGTCTACAACTTGTCATGTAGACTGGAACCCTTCACTCCTACAACAGCCTCATGGTCTACAACTTGTAGTTCTACTCTCATGTAGACTGGAACCCTTCACTCCTACAACAGCCTCATGGTCTACAACTTGTAGTTCTACTCTCATGTAGACTGGAACCCTTCACTCCTACAACAGCCTCATGGTCTACAACTTGTAGTTCTACTCTCATGTAGACTGGAACCCTTCACTCCTACAACAGCCTCATAGTCTACAACTTGTAGTACTACTCTCATGTAGACTGGAACCCTTCACTCCTACAACAGCCTCATGGTCTACAACTTGTAGTTCTACTCTCATGTAGACTGGAACCCTTCACTCCTACAACAGCCTCATAGTCTACAACTTGTAGTTCTACTCTCATGTAGACTGGAACCCTTCACTCCTACAACAGCCTCATGGTCTACAACTTGTAGTTCTACTCTCATGTAGACTGGAACCCTTCACTCCTACAACAGCCTCATGGTCTACAACTTGTAGTACTACTCTCATGTAGACTGGCTGCCAATTTATACTGAACAGTTTGTCCTTGAATTTTGACACATGCACTTTGACAGTATTTGCTTATGAACTTTTACCCGTTAGACAATTTTAGTAATCAAGAATAATTTAAAAGAATATTTAATTTTTGTAATGTAAATGTTTTTTTTGCTTTGTTGATTGTTTTCCGTTTTCACTTCTTGTAATTTCTTTTTTGTAGTCTTTTTACCATGAACAACCAGCAGCAGTCAGAGTGGTTGGTGAAACATCAGATTTGTTTGAGGTGCAGAGAGGAGTTAAGGCAGGGCTGCATTCTCTTTCCATCCCTTGTTAAAACACATGCTAAAAATGCTATGAGAAATGCAATTAGTGAAGGTCTGTGACAGCTTTGATCCACTGAAAAGTGGATGTAGACCTATCCCAGAACTCAGATATGCAGACGACTCTTCTCCTTTTCAACAGTGTATAAAGCTTAGAAAAATTATTTTGACTCTCAAAAAAAAAAGCACAGTGAAGACAGCAGTTTAAAACAGAAATACCGTGAAGGAAGCCAAGAAGAGTTTGGATGCAGGTGTATTGAGAAAACAATGCTATTCGCAAGGTTGCAGTGCATTTTCCATGAACACTTACATTTAAAAAAAAAAATAGATACAGGAGCAACCTTCAATTGATTTGATGGTACAATTAACTAAACTTCCCATAAACATAAAGGGAATAATGAAAAATTAATCTGAACAGTTTCATTCATTCCATTAAAAATAACTGAACATTAAATATGCACTGTTTATTTTTCTTTTCCTAAGTATTCAAACCACTTTAAGGGTACGGTGCTGCGATATATGTTCTGCCCGGCAAGGAGTACGGTGCTGCGAAATATGTTCTGCCCGGCCAGGTTGCGGCTGACCTATGGCATAGCACCTGCAAGCAAGATCAGGTCAACAATATTGAGATCATGTATCAGTCAGTGGCAGTTTATGCGTGTGAGTCATAGACTCTCTCAGTTTATGTGTGTGAGTCATAGACTCTCTCAGTTTATGTGTGAGAGTCATAGACTCTCTCAGTTTATGCGTGTGAGTCATAGACTCTCTCAGTTTATGCATGTGAGTCATAGACTCTCTCAGTTTATGCGTGTGAGTCATAGACTCTCTCAGTTTATGTGTGTGAGTCATAGACTCTCTCAGTTGATGCGTGTGAGTCATAGACTTTCTCAGTTTATGCGTGTGAGTCATAGACTCTCTCAGTTTATGCGTGTGAGTCATAGACTTTCTCAGTTTATGTGTGTGTCATAGACTCTCTCAGTTTATGTGTGTGAGTCATAGACTCTCTCAGTTTATGCGTGTGAGTCATAGACTTTCTCAGTTTATGCGTGTGAGTCATAGACTTTCTCAATTTATGTGTGTGTCATAGACTCTCTCAGTTTATGCGTGTGAGTCATAGACTTTCTCAGTTTATGTGTGTGTCATAGACTCTCTCAGTTTATGCGTGTGAGTCATAGACTTTCTCAATTTATGTGTGTGTCATAGACTCTCTCAGTTTATGCGTGTGAGTCATAGACTTTCTCAGTTTATGTGTGTGTCATAGACTCTCTCAGTTTATGCGTGTGAGTCATAGACTCTCTCAGTTTATGCGTGTGAGTCATAGACTCTCTCAGTTTTTGATGAAGAAAATCAAAGCTTTTTCTGTTACCGAAATATTCTCACAATACTTTGGACCAGATGAAGAAGTACATCCTGCATGACCTAAACATCAAAGAGAACTGGCTGGTAAAGAAGATCCTCTCCCAAAAGCTGATGGATTTTGGACGTCAAGCACCACGGTGGTCTGAAGAGAATGGTGCTGGAGAGTGCTGTTTCCAGAAGATGAGGCAGACACAGACTACCATGAAGGTGGATACAGGACATTGAAGATGAGGCAGACACAGACTACCATGGATACAGGACATTGAAGATGAGGCAGACACAGACTACCATGGATACAGGACATGGAAGATAAGGCAGACACAGACTACCATGGATACAGGACATTGAAGATGAGGCAGACACAGACTACCATGAAGGTGGGTACAGGACATTGAAGATGAGGCAGACACAGACTACCATGAAGGTGGATACAGGACATTGAAGATGAGGCAGACACAGACTACCATGGATACAGGACATTGAAGATGAGGCAGACACAGACTACCATGAAGGTGGGTACAGGACATTGAAGATGAGGCAGACACAGACTACCATGGGTACAGGACATTGAAGATGAGGCAGACACAGACTACCATGGGTACAGGACATTGAAGATGAAGCAGACACAGACTACCATGGGTACAGGACATTGAAGATGAGGCAGACACAGACTACCATGGATACAGGACATTGAAGATGAGGCAGACACAGACTACCATGAAGGTGGGTACAGGACATTGAAGATGAGGCAGACACAGACTACCATGAAGGTGGGTACAGGACATTGAAGATGAGGCAGACACAGACTAACATGAAGGTGGATACAGGACATTGAAGATGAGGCAGACACAGACTACCATGAAGGTGGATACAGGACATTGAAGATGTATTTGTATTTTCTCCGTATCCACTGGCTTATGTTGTCAATGCAGCTGTTGGTAAATGATGGTCACTTTGGTGGAGCACTGACACCTTAGTTACTATACTTTTCAATTTAAAAAGAAGAAAAAAAAGCAGTTTTCCAATGGCATGATTTAGTTAATTAATGGGAAAACTTGTATACCTAAAAACTGTTGATTATCCAACAAAAAAACTGTCAATTGATTGGTTGAATCCTATGATATTCTTGTCTGCAATTTAAACCATTTCAGTCAATAATTACAAAGATTTTAATTGACAATATCAAGTTCCTTTCAGTAGCTGTACGCTTTGTTTTGTTGTTGTTTGAATAGTGTAGAATTATTGTTTTACTGACCTGATGACCAGGTACTGCTGACTTTCTCAGCCAGTTTGAGTTTGTGTCTTCTTTTGGCTACAATATCTTATTTTAATCTTTGGCCTGAAGCAGAAAAGACTGAATGTTAACAGGCATAAACTAGGTGGCATTGTTTTTATACTTGTTATGTGAAAAAATTAAGTGCCAGATTAAGTTATACCCTGGCAGATTTCATTGATAAAGTTTGTAACCACCAGGCACCAGGTACCGACAGTTTCAGCTGTAGTTCGCTAAACCGTAATCCTGATGTGTGTATTATCATGTATGATAAATTTCAATAAGTTTCAGGTTTGATTTCTTTGTAAAAAGTTAATTTATGACAGTAGTTCAGGGTAGTCACTGAGTTAAACAGTAAATATCAGTGATGTGTTTGATAGGTGATCAGTACTGTAAAAGAACACATCTGAGCAGATATTTTTATAGGTCATTTACTTGTTAATGTTTATATGGTCATATACTTGCTAATGTTTATATGGTTATATACTTGTTAATGTTTATATGACCATATACTTGTTAATGTTTATATGGTCATATACTTGTTAATGTTTATATGGTCATATACTTGTTAATGTTTATATGGTCATATACTTGTTAATGTTTATGTGATCATATACTTGTTAATGTTTATATGGTCATATACTTGTTAATGTTTAAATGATCCTATACTTGTTAATGTTTATATGATCATATACTTGTTAATGTTTAAATGGTCATATACTTGTTAATGTTTATATGGTCATATACTTGTTAATGTTTATATGGTCATATACTTGTTAATGTTTATGTGATCATATACTTGTTAATGTTTATATGGTCATATACTTGTTAATGTTTAAATGATCCTATACTTGTTAATGTTTATATGGTCATATACTTGTTAATGTTTAAATGGTCATATACTTGTTAATGTTTATGTGATCATATACTTGTTAATGTTTAAATGGTCATATACTTGTTAATGTTTATATGGTCATATACTTGTTAATGTTTATATGGTCATATACTTGTTAATGTTTAAATGGTCATATACTTGTTAATGTTTATATGGTCATATACTTGTTAATGTTTATATGGTCATATACTTGTTAATGTTTAAATGGTCATATACTTGTTATAGCTCAGTTTGTAAACTCACTGTGGACAAGGGAGGTATCTTG